GGGGGGACAGAAATGCTAGGTTTGTTCGGTGCTATTAGACGATTATTGGCGCTCGGTTACGGTCTGTTCTGCTTGGTAATTCGCACCTCAGGAGGAAACGGACGGCAGCGGCGCGTCATAAGAACGAGGACGGGAGAAGACAGGATTTCCTTCCCGCACCATGAAATCTCGAGAGGACCGTGAGATATTGAAACGACTGGTAGAGTCGCGCAGCACCGAGGTCGTTGGGAAACACCTGTGCAGTGCGGGGCGGGGCGGGGCAAGGCGAGGGTGGACTGAGGTCACAGAAGACCGCTAAGTGCGCTCAGGCCGGCGCGGAGCGGGAGTCGAGTCGAGTGAAGGGCCGGGGGAGGGGGGGATGGTCGGGGAGCGGGCCTGGGGCTGGGGGGGCTAGTCAGGGGCGGGTCGTCGTGGGTAGGCAGGACACCGCCTGGACGGGGGGCGAAGCCCCACCTGGTTATCGAAGCTCGCCAAAAGCCGCTTGTTGCACAAGCCAGCCTTGCGGATAGCTATCCCGACCAACCCGCCTGGTGGATGATATCAAGGCATGCACATAAAAAAAAAAACGAAACCGAAAACGAGTGTGAGAGCGAAGCGCCACCTCGAGGTCATATTCTCCGAAGGAAAAAACATACAAAAATAAGGTAACGCCGAAGGACACCTTCAATTTTGTGAATGAGGTACGACTGGTAGAGAGATTAGAGGTGTGGGTGATTTGGAGGAGGAGATAGGCTAGGTGAGCTGAGGGCTGGGCGATATAGGGGATGGGAGGGAAGACCGGGGGAAGGCCGCGGCTGAGACTGGCCAAACCACAGCCATTGTGTGATAGGTGGCCGGGTGACCTATCTCACATCCACTTGGCCACTGGTCTTCCCTTCAATTGGCATATAAAGACTGCCTTTGCCCCAGCTAGGCCAAGCTTAGCTCCCCACAAGGCTACCATCAGGTCAGGCAGCATCAGAACACCAACCAAGCACACCAGGAAAAAGACAAGAGAAGTAACATGAAAGTGGTATTAAGAAGGGAATAGGGAATAGGAATGGGTTGAGGTACAACGTGCTTGTCAACCAAGGATGAGTTCTATGGAGTCTTGTACCCACCTTAGATAACAGAGCAAACTGTACAAGGTAAAATTATAGGGAAATTACAGGATGGATTGTAAGTTGGAAAAGAATTACAGAGGTTTTCAGGAATAGGTTGTATGGAGAGACCGTTTAAGAAGTAAAATAAAAAATAAAAAGATATATGAAAACCATGTCATGCGAGAGATTAACAAATACCTTAATACAAAAACAAAAAGAGTGATGAAAATTACAAAACAGTTAGGCAGGATACAATATAATAAAACCAGACAAATGTTAAAAAAAATAAAAATTACTGTAAATCTGAAAGAAAAATTAAGGAGAGCCTTCATCAATGACTAATTTTAACTTTGAACGTCTAAGTTATAATAGCTGTCAGAGAGAAGGACATAAAAATTTTAGATCTGGTGATTGCTGGATATGTTTATATTGATTTTCCGCTAATTGACAAATATTGGTGGCAAATTACTGGCAAACACCTCCAAATTGCAAAATGAATGAGCATAAGGGCATTAATTGTAAAATATAGTGCAATAATATGCACTTGAGATACCTCAAATTAGGAATTTGGTAATAGAGACTTCCCTTCCATCAAAAACAATCAAAATGACAATAGGACAGAGCAAATTAGAACAGGGATGGACATAACCTTAGAGACAAATAGTCATGTAAAAAATATAATAGACCATAAAATAGTTCAATTAATTAAGGTATTTAAAATTTTGACAGGAAATTTACTATTACATTAGTTGAGTTTTAAAATAGAATAGGTCTATGTTTGTAGGAAAGATTGATATATGATTAGAAATCAACACTTCACCAGTTAAAGAGGTCTATGTAAAATTCTGGATTCAAGTTCGCACAGAGAAATTAAAAAAACAGTTAGTGCTAGAAGATTCTTTCAATTCAATCTGACAAGATGCAACATAAAATCCAACCTACAAATTTTAATCTGACGCCCCGGGCGTTTGCACTTTGGGCTCGCCCATGGAAATTTTGAAAAGGAAACAAATGTTTACCTTTCGAAATGATAAAGCGGACGATTTTGGCATCACCACACACAGTTATCAATTTTACATTCACGATCGGCGAAAAATAAAGGCTATGTGGCCCTTTCTCGGAATGGTAGGCTTATATTGCAGTCACTTGACAAGGCTAGGGCTTCGCTCAGAGACGTGGGAGGGTTGTAGAGTACTTACCCAATAAAAGTAACTTGAGTTCCCTTCTAGCTTCTCTCTTGTCCCTTTTGAGTTGTTTTTCGATTTCTTGATTTATCCTTTTCTGTTCTTTGGCCTCCTCCGACAGACAGCACGCCATGTTGTGCCTGAGGGTTGCTCAGCCTATGTTATACTGGCCCCAGAGTATCTTCGGCCCGGCCTTCTCTCTCACACCATTCCCCCACCACCGGACTCTGGGCCGAAGATACAGCGGAGCGACTATAGCTGAGCGGAGCCCCGTTTCTTTGCGGTCTGTAGGGCGTCTGCTCAGGCGCAGGGGACTCCTAAACAGTAAAACAAACCAATAATCAATCTTACGATATCCATCAATCAAGGAAAACACAATTTCAGGCACGCGGAACGCGATAAACGAACACATTTCCACGCTCATGCCGCTACGCCGCCTCGGCCGCCCTCACTGGGTGTGGTAGTCCTGTTACAGACGACGCAAAGTACGTCTGCTATCGCGTTGTATACGCCTCTTTCAAAGAAGCCAGAACGTCCCGACCATGTGAAGAACATCACACACCTTAACACCGTATGATCCCATTAAACAAATTCAATTTGAGAGCCCCCGCACCAGACACTACTGGGGTGAAATAACAAGATTAAATGCAGAACGAATGTTGAGATACCAGGAGTAACGACAAAACATGGATCAGACAGTGTTAACGAAACGGCGCCAAGGGGCGGTCACAGAGAGGCGCTTTTTGTCAGAAAATACACGGAAACTTACGTAAGAGTTTATCCATTGGGTGGGTGTTCCTATGCATCTGTATCTCAAAAATAAAGTAAATAAAACTTCACATTAAAGATGACACGGCAACCGCCTACAATCAAGATGGCGTCTGTGCAATGGTGAATCCCATCATGCACCGTATCGAAAACAAACTACTATCTCCATCTGCGCGAATGTTTGAATGGAGCGCGGGGAAAGAAAACTGAGCCCAGTCCGAGCCGGAGCCAACGCTGGTTGCGTGAAATTGGCTGAAACCCCTTAAACCACCTGCGGTCCGAAAGAGATAAATGCGACAATCAAATTGCAATGATTTGGTGGATTATTCCTGCGTGGATTTTACTACCAGACCTTTCCTTGCCCCTTTAACGACTTATTCTAATCTTTCAGAATAAGAAATAGATTTGTAAAAAAATATTTGCCCGACTCTGTTTTCCACACGAAACTTTGTCTTTTTGCTGTTTAACATCACACTGGACGGTTCATGACGTAGGGACAGGTCCATTTTCACTGATCTATGTGTAATAACCAACTTTTATTTTCTTGTTACAGATAGCGCCCCCCCCC